TGAAAAAATGTATTAATTTCTGTTAGAATAAGAATTAATTAAGTTTATTACTATTTTTTAATAAAATGTATCTTTACACATAAAATGTACCAAAATTTGTTTTAGTTAAGTCTTTTACATTTATAAAAATACAATTTTTCATGTGTACGAATATTTATTTCCCCCACTGTATACACACACACACACACACACACACACACACACACACATATATATATATATATATATATATAAATGAATGGTAGTCGATTAGATTATACATATGGGAAAAATAAATTGAAACTTGACCATATGTATTTACAACAAAAACTACAAAAAAGAATAATACATGAAATTTCACTAATAATGGTTTTTAGTGCCATAAGAATTTTCCTAGTCATTTAACATGAAATATATAAGAAAATTTTTGTACATACAAATAACAGAAAAAAGAAATGGATAACATAGATATTTTCATCTTATTTTTAACTGTTAAAATTTAGGGATCTTAAAACGAGTTATAAATTTGATTTAATCCTTTAAAATTTTTGCCATCTCTGTCATGGATATAAAAAACAAGTTTAGTTTTTTCACAGCTATTGTCATGACGATGTTAAGTATCAGTGATACAGGAGGAAGGGATGGTGACAACTCTCTCCTTCTGCCTATTAGGCAAGCTTCAAATGGCCTTCTACCGAAAACTGATAAAAAGGCGTGAATCCGTCCCTTTTAAGAATCTCTAAGGCGTGTTTAAGCCCTGATGAGTCACAAGAAGACCATATTTGGGCAAAGTAAACAAATAGGTTACCCTTTCTTTCCTTTTCTCGCTAAATCACCTTTTTAAAAACTTTTATAGTTTATTTTTATTATTAAAGTGGAGTTTATCAACAAAATAAATGTACATATGTAGATATAACCAAATATTTATTTTTATTATTTTAATTTCTAACACACACACAGACAGGTACACACTCAGACAGACACAGACAGACAAACACACACACACACACACACACACACACACACACACACACACACACACACACACACACACACATATATATATATATATATATATATGAAGAAATTTTGAAAAAAACAAAAAAAATCCTTAAATGTAGTTAAATGAAAGAAATGTCGACGTCTGACGTTTCGGTTTATTAAACCTTTTTTCAAGACAATATTCATCAAAATACAATTCAGTTCAATATGACAAATACGATGGACATAAAAACACAAGTCTTATTCAGAACAGATAACTGAAAATTTTTAAAATGATGCCTTCCGTCTAACATGGGCTTCGTGGGCGGCTTTCATAACAATATTCCTAAAAGTTTGTGAATTTAATGAAAAAAGAAAAAGGTTCTATAAGAAATTCTTATATGCTTGTGCATCAATCTCGCTAAAAAAGATTAAAGAAACCAGGATTTGTGCGTCAGATGGATATTAACCTGCTTCATAAATCCTCCACAAGATTTTTATTATGAAAAATTTTAAATTTCACGGAATCGAAATCGAAAAATCCCAATAAAGCATTATTTAGACGAATTCCATGTTACGAGATTTTAAGGACCTACCTGTTTCACAAACATATTTTAGGTCACAATTTTTGCATGATATTTATATGCAAGCATCGGATGTAATATGTTGTCTGCTGGTGCTATTTAATATCGGATAGTCCTAGGTATTTAGTTCTAATTTTTAATGCAAGATTATATACGTTCGGTCCGACCAAACGAAATATTATCAGAGGTAGCTAATCTTTCATTGATCATATAAAGAATTTTCAAGGCTCTCTTAAAATTGTCTAAGATTGATTTGAAAAATATCCTCAATATATAAATTCATCATTTAAAATTTTGATGAACAGATGCGAAGAGCCCTCAAATAGAATCCAATAACAATACCCCTCTTAGTGTTAGTATCATGGTTAAAAATGTAAATAGTCATTTTTACATGTGGTTTACGATATACTTTGAATTCTAATTTATTTTTATTTTTAATGAGTAATATGTCTAAAAAGGTAAGGAATTATTAGATTCAAGTTCATTAAAAATTCTATTTAATCTATCAGAGAATCTCGTTTTAAATCATGCTTAAGATAAATAAAATGTCATCGATGTATCGAAAATTTGTGTATCAGGTGGAATGACATCTTTAAAGGTCCAGATTCAAGAAATTCTCTGCTAGGAATCTCCCCATCGTAAACCAAATTTTGCATTGGAAGAAACAAATTTGATGCATTTCGAGATAGAGATTGTCAATTTTCTTCACATTGTTTAATGCATTTATCAACAGGTCTTCCAATATAATAATATTTATTATAAACAAAATTCTTTTTTGGTTTACCGGATGGGGAGTTCCTAGTGATATTATGAGAGCTGAGCCTATTCCTAGCATGGGTTTTGCATAAATTTTTAGAATTTTAGGTCCTATGAATCATATGTAATGAAGACTTTTTAAAGATGTCCCTAAAATTTATGGCCTCCCTGATAACTTAACATTCCATTAAGGCCCATTCTCGGATACATCGATCCTCATAATACATATTTATTTATCAATTCTGGGCACCCACATATAAAAAATTCAGGCTCTCTTTTAAATAAGTTGAGATTAGATAACAAATTACTAGCGAGATTACCTGTTGATAAAGATTAAACAATTAGAAGAAAATTGACTTTAAAGCTACTATCTGAAATGCATCAAATTATGCATCCTTTGCACTTCACATTGTTTCTTCCAATATAATAATATTTATTATAAACAAAAATTTGGTTTACCGATGAACTTGATTCCTAGCATGCATATTTCTAGAATTTCTTGAATCTGGACCTTTTAAAGATGTCATTACCTGATACACATAAAAAAAAATGAAATTTATTTATCTACCCACATAAGCATGATTTAAACAAACCTACTATTGAATTTATGAACTTGAATCTAATAATTCCTTACCTTTTACATACTCATTAAAAATAAAAATAAATTAGAATTCAAAGTATGTAAACTATTTACATTTTACTCTCACCATGATACTAACACTAAGGGGGTATTGTTATTGGATTCTATTTGAGGGCTCTTCGCATCTGTTCATCAAAATATTTAAATGATGAATTTACATATATTGAGGATACCTTTTCAAATCTTTCGTATCCGAGACAATTATTACAGAGAGCTAAAAATAAAGCGTTGAAAATTCACTCATCAGCGCAAAATGACACCTCAAAGGCCACTACAACTAGATCAATGAAAGATACAATTTCAGCTACTTCTGATAATATTTCGTTTGGTCGCATCTTTTTACCAAATAACCATTTGACCGAACGTATCTCTCATAATCTAAATGCATTAAAAATTAGAACTACTATATTACCTACTAGGACTATCCGTAGTTTATTAAATAGCACCAGCAGACAACATATTACATCCGATGCTTGCATCTATCAAATATCATGCAAAAATTGTGACCTAAAATATGTGGGTGAAACAGGTAGGTCCTTAAAATCTCGTGTTTTCGAACATAAACGAGATATTCGTCTCGGTATTTTAATAATGCTTTAGTTGTACACACAACTAAAGCAGATCATAATTTCGATTTCGATTCCGTGAAAGTATTAAAATATTTTCATAATAAAAATCTCAGGAGGATTTATGAAGCAGGTATAATATCCATCTCACGCACGGTGAATACTAGACCTGGTTTTTTTAATATTTCCCTTTTTAGCGAGATTGATGCTCGACAAGCATACACATAAGAATTTTAGAACCTAATAGAATTCTTTTCATTTTCTTTTTTTTTCATTTCAAAATAATCACAAACTTTTAGGAATACGTTATGAAAGCGTCGCCCATGTGACGACAGCGTGACCATGTTAGACGGAAGGCTGATCATTTTAAAAATTTTCAGTTATCTGTTCTGAATAAGACTTGTGTTTTATGTCCATCGTATTTGTCATATTGAACTGAATTGTATTTTGATGAATATTGTCTTGAAAAAAGGTTTAATAAACCGAAACGTCAGACGTCGACATTTCTTTCATTTAACTACATTTAAGGATTTTTGTTTGTTTTTTCAAAATTTCTTCATTCTGTCGGATTTATATCCATTTACACTTGCCTATATATATATATATATATATATATATATATATATATATATATATATTCAACGATAAATCCATATCGGATAAGAATAAAATATTAGTTACACATGTTGCTCGTATGTTTTAACAATAAATCACATTGAAAGAGATTATTGTGTTGTCATTTTGTTAGCCGTGGTTGTTTTAAACGATTGTTTATACAGGCTGAGGCAGAAATACCTCTCAAAATTACCCCCAACACATAATGGTAAGACATTAGCTAGATGAAGAAATCATTGCCACTAATGTCTTACCATTATGTGGTAGGTATTTCTTGGAAGTATATGTGGGAGGTATTTCTGGCTCGCTATGTACCAGCCTTAGAATGATATAGTTGGTCATTATCAATGATTCCATTTTGGAACGATGTTGATTTCAAAAACATGAACTACATTCAAGGAACTCGATAATACCTTAAACGAAAAACAAAATTTCATTTATTTAGTTCCAAAGTCTGAATATCAAATCTTTATCAAACTTAAAAATCTTTGAATAAATGATTAACTGAATGTTTCTCCGATCAACATTAAAGACACTGGAAAATTACTTTAATTTTCCGCAGCTAAACTATCATCAAGTTTCGAACTTGACACACATTTGTTGAAAATTATGAGAACCTTCCATTAATTAATTTCCCATTTCATATTCATATGCTTCACTGTGAAATGATTTCAAATAACCAAATTCATTCCTGTTTTTTTTTGTCTTCATCTGCTTGTCAGGGATTATGCATTATACTATTGAGTTATGAATCAAAAGTTAGATACGTATAAAGATAATTAAAAGAAATAAGAACTACATTTTCAAATTTATCAGTAGAAATTTTGTATGTGCTACTAAGGGAATTCGGAATTTGGTGTTATTAGAGAAGTCGTCTGTATGATCTTTGACAGTTCAGAATGCTTCCTTTCTTGTCATTTGGCCCATTATATTTTCGATGCCTCATTTTTTGGCTATTATTTTATCTTTAACATTACTACTGTTCTCCCATTCAGTAGAACTTTTCTTTCCACTCTTCCTCATCTCTTCCTTATACAATGCGTGTTTGTAAGCATTGGCGCTCGTCTTGTTAATGTTGCCAGTTTTGCCACGTCTGAATTATTATCTCACTAGGTTCATTATATTTTAAGACATCTTCTTTTATATTCTCCTGTAATTCATTGTTGCGTCGTTTAAATTTCAGTTTTTTATGATTGTGAACCTGTCCCTTTCGAAGTTGAGTAGGCGGTCATCCTGTGGGAGAGGTTTTCATAATTTTGAATCCATAGTCCTCTGTTTCTTCGTTATTATTTCTTTCATAAGGATGAGCGCTGAATAACAAGTTCCACCACATTTCTTCCAATGATACATTCTATTTTCTGTAATAGTTTGATCTTGTACTCTCTCTCTCTCTCTCTCTCTCTCTTTGGGTAGCATTATATTCTTAGCCGAATAGTTAACTTTAAATGTTTCCATCGTGGTGATTGTAATATAGTATAAGGTAACTCCAAATTCAGATGTTTATTTTAGTTTATAGAAGTGCACAACCGTGACTAAACGCTTAAAATAAGCTAAAAGCCGACAGAGCCTAAATGTAATATATTATAATAACATTGTTATTACAATAATATTAAAAGTCGCTACTCAGACTTTCATGTAATAACGGTCATAAGGCGAATATAGGCGGGTATATGCGGTTATATATAACGTTCATAATAATGTAACTTTCCGAAAAGAAAATGCCAGCAGAATGTAACTAAGATTTTGTCTGAGATAAGGACAACATTTAGTTCCTGATACGGACCGAGATGGCTAAAAGCAAACGAACAAAAACAGATAAAAAAAATGAACTTTGGTGGAAGTATATTCACAATTTTGATCCAGATGTGCGACAATTTATTCAAAAATTGGAAATACTCATTAAAAATGAAACAGATAAATCTCATCGGTTAAATACACACACACACACACACACACACACACACACACACACACACACACACACACATATATATATATATATATATATATATATAATATTTTTGTTTGTGCCTATGTATATGTGTATTTAACGGAAAGAAGATTTTTATATATATATATATATATATATATATATATATATATATATATATATATATATATATATATATATATATATATTATATGCTAAATATATTTTATGATTATATATCAATGATGTATGAGTGCTTATGGAAGCAAGAGATTTGGTTTCTGAGTACTGCAAGAACTTATTTAAGTAGCTATTTAATGTTGGCTATGTTAATACGTTCATAGTTCTTCGCCTCGATTCTCTCACTTCTTTTTGATCAATGACACCAGAGCCATGCAATGAGTGCCTTGTCGTAAGGGGCTGGCGTAAAATGTCAACGCAAAACAGAATTAATTTCACCATCTGTAAAGCAAATACTAACCTCTAGTCTTGTTGAAGCAGTCAAGTAACCTCAAACATCTTTCACCCGTTGTATCTGACACAATGGACGACATGACGAATCTCTCATTCGAAATAGCTAACATTTAGCTGGAATGTCGACAGAACCATTCTTGAAGTGCCCGCTCTTGCGGTTGTGTCAAATTGAGGTAGTAGTTTTAATTAAAACAACTCCATCCACATAAACACTAAAGATTTAAAGTCTAATTTTAGAGAACGTAAGTCGTAAGCAGGTCGTATGTAAGTTAGCTTTCGTTACGAAAGAACATTATTTTGTGGAATAATAACATTATTCTGATTCAACAATTTTCATTCGAGTCAGCCCAAAGCGTTACTTTCACTAGCATGTTGTCTTAACAAAATAAAATAATACCAAATAAAAAGCAATCATCTGCTTATGTGTTAAAAGTACTTAATAGCCATTTTATTTTTCTTTATTTTATTTTGGAGACAGCTGGATCAACTTCATTACTAGTGTAATATTAACATCAACAAAATATTGCACTACAAGTTGAGTAACATATAGAGTTAAAGAAAACTGTTTGTAAAATATACGCAAAATTACATGCTTCATTGAATGTGGTCTCTTTTTATGTCGCTTTTTATAATTTTATTTACATACGAAATAGAAAATATTTTAATCTGAAGATAAATTGTTAAAGTATATTATAATGGATTAAAAAAAATGCAAGAATCCTTGGAAAAAACCTGCGCCATCAACTATCATTCACAATGAAAATCCCGTCGACATTTTAATAGTAGACTTTAAAAATATTTATATTGTTCGGACAATTATCTTCATATTTATATTCACGACATTTCGGCCGTTGTACGCTCCGGCTTTCTTCAGGTGATATACGTTGGAGTTTCGAACTAAACTCTTTATTTACGGGTGTAGACTGTTCTAGTTCCACGTGCCATGACTTTTCTGGATCAATTTCAGTACAACGGCCGAAACGTTGTGAATAGACAATAAAGATGAGGAAAACAGTTAGAAAATACATATATTTAGCGAAAAGAGGACGGAAAAGAAAATCGTTTGATGTGCAGCAAGCTACTTTGCCCAACAAAAATAAATAAAAATGTCATATTGAAGGTATTCTTTTCAGTTTCCTATAGATAACCTGTAATCAAAAGAAATATAATGTGAAGAAAAATGGTGAACTTCATGGAAAGTTTTCTTGTCAATATGGTGGATTCTTAAACCGAGCAAAAATAACAAAAATGTAATGATTATATCGACTCTTGCAATTGTTAACGGTGAAATAATAATAAAAGGACTGGTCCTTAGTGACTCATCATTCAAATATTGTAAACATTGAATATTTCAATTGAAAATAAATCATACGAGTATTATCTGCACAAACTTTAAAAATAATGCTTTAAAAATTCAGAAAAATGTTTTCAGATGTAAATAAAGATTTATGAATTCTACAATTTCTTGACATTACTCACGAAAAATATTTCTGTTCTTTACTCGACTAACAGGAATACTAAAATTAAACAGAAAAGGCACAGTAAAAAGCAAGCAGAACAAAAAATCTGTCGATAGTTTGGGTTTGATTTTAGTATATTAGTAAGGAGCCTCTTAAAATTCAGTTTTCAAAAAGAGAAAGCGAGGCAGCACTTTCTTTTCAACCATTGCTATCAATGGTTTCTGAAGGATGTACACATATATAAAGCAGTTTACGTCATTTTTTTATCTGAGTTTTATATGCATTTAGAAAGATTAGCTACACTACAAATAGGTAGGCAAAGGCGAACTATCATAGTCAATGTAGAGATATATCAAAGTGAAAATTCTAGTACAGGAAAAAACGAACAAACAGGCCTAAAATGGTTTCTGAATTCTCCCAACAATATTAGGAATACCGATAGTAGTTGTAATAATTGTATATCTCTGGTATCAATGCAGACAGTATTGTACTGAAGATAGATTGTTGATGGTTCCAATTTATTGGCGGATTATTTTCGGAATTTGTAGTAGTTAAAACTGTAGTAGAAACATATTGTTTGGACAAATCCATGTTTATCACAAGTTCAACTCTTTAGAATAGTCATTGAAGAATGAACTGAGCAATCATTGATGGAATGCAGGTGTTATTACTCGAGATAATTATGGCAACAATAGCAACTAGCCGTCTACTTGAAATGAACATTCCAAGTGATGTGTTGTTAAAGTTTCAAGCAGTTGGAAAATAGATACGACTCTGTTGGCAAACGTAAGGATGGAACTGATAGTATCTAGCCAGCGTGAGTTAGTTCTGACCGGATATTGAACACTTAGGTCCGCGTGGTGCAGGCTGACAGATCTCCGGCTGTCGGAAATAGTTGGACTGGTAAGTTTTTATTTGTAAAACATGGAAAGTAGCCAAACATAGAAACTTGGAATTGGAAACAAGAAACTTGCAATTCATGATTTTCGTGTTTGTAATTTCGTCTTGTGATTGAACGTCTGTCTGTCAAGACAGATAAAATAAACAAACTATAAACAGTAACAGGTACTTTGTTCATTTTACAATATAAATAAAAAAGAAACATATCAGAGAGAGAGAGAAGGAAAGAGAAAAAGAATCTAAGTAGGACTGGTGAACTTACAGCATACATTATACACACGCACACGTTTCATATAAGTAAATAGGTAGGTTAAATTTTAACCTTCATAAGTATATAGGTGATTCAATTAGGACGATATTGACTAAATTTTACTCGGAAAATCACACGTACATTACATATCTTGTGTAACAAAATGCATACTTTATATTCATGGCTCAATTGTCTTTACTCGTGGAAGTCATGCATGATGCCTTCAAATCATTTTGTGTACACTACAATATAAAAATCAGTGTGAATTATGCAAGCGTGCATTTACGTTGATTATACATAGCTAATCTTTCTGATACTTCGAAATTCGCATGAAATAGTGTGTAATATATATATATATATATAGAGAGAGAGAGAGAGACAGACAGACAGACAGACAGACAGACAGACAGACAGACAGAGAAAGCAGACAAAAAACTTTTCTCTGTTTTCTCTCAATCACTAACGAAGCTTTAATAAAAGTGAAACATGTTAGATTGATATACGTTTCCTATTTGTTCTTTTATTTTAACATCCTGTCGGATTCCGATCCATATTTGATCATCGACTCTCTCTCCCTCCCTCCTCTCTCTCTCTCCCTCCCTCCTCTCTCTCTTTCTCTCTCTCTCTCTCTCTCTATATATATATATATATATATATATAGTGTGTGTGTGTATACTTAGGCAGCATATTTTCATTCAAACAAGTTTCGTTAAATAATTTAGACACATTACATTGTTGATGAACAAATTAGACAAGCTCTTAAGAATATTAACATAAATAAAAATGAATACAATACATCTTCAAATATCTCTAAACATATCAAATTACTATATCGTAATCAAATGCATTGAAACTATAAACAGGAGAAAAAATCCTAAAAACTCATAAACACTAATATATCCTTCACTGATCTAAGTAAAAAAATAAAATCATATACTATGCTTAATTTAATATAATCAACCCGCTTGTCCAAAACAATTCATCTCTGCTTACTAGAATCTTGCAAAATGCCAACATTTTATATCAATTTCAATGTCCTTTAGGAGATTGTATCGCTGATAAAATTCTCAATACGTACGTTGGCTTTACTACGACGATGTTAACAAAGAGACTTACATTTCATTTGGCCGAGCATAGTTCAATATATCAGCATGTAAAGGAACACTCGTACCCACACTCACAGATTAGAAGGATATTATTCGAAAATACATCTATATTACATAAAAAAATAATGAGCAAAAACTAAAAATAATTGAAACCCTATATATAAGAGAATTAAAGCCCAAAATAAATAGTCAATTATGAGTATAACAACAAAGGCGGGAAATTCAAATATATATATATATATATATATATATATATATATATATATATATATATATGTATGTAAAACACGTGAAATATTAACTTTGAAATCTAGTACGTTGCATAAGCAGTAAAAACGAACAGTTGAAATGCTTTGAATTTACAGAATCACATATACATATTCACAGGCAACTTACCCCCACTGAAGATGGTCTCAGATCAGTTTGAAAATATTTTGGATAATAAAAACTATTTGAAAGAAAATTTTGTTATTTTTTTAATCGATTTTCTAAGGCTACCACGAAATTAATTCATGAAATTAAAAGGATGATAACGAAAAATAATCGACAAGATATGTCTAAATTATTTAATAAACCCTCTTTGAATATATATATATATATATATATATATATATATATATATATATATATATATAACGTCATCCACACACAGACTGTTTCGCAGCTCATCAGTGTGGCTAGACATCCGGTTGCCTCTAGCTAGGATCGAAACACGACTGAATTGATTCTAACCACTAAGCCGTCGGCGCACGGTAGAGATGAAGGTGGATTTTAGCGTATTTATTTTTAGAAACACGCCCAGTGACCGACAGTGACTCAATTCGCATTTGCGAAGAGTCTCGCTATATAGCTATAATAGTCACTGTTTACCCACACCTCCTCCCCAGAGAGCTCAATATATAAATATATATATATATATATATATATATATATATATATATATATATATATATGCGCACGTGTGGGTGTGTATTGTGTTTATATTCCAGAAATATAAAATGTACCAGAATATGTATCTTAATTTATAAATTAATAGAATGCAGTTATATCACTTGATGATACTGATTTATCTTGTATATATTAATACGCTTGTACTTATATATAGTGTGTATCACGCTTGGTATCACTGATACTAAGTGGGCAAGAGAAAGACAGACTGAGAGTTGTGGATATAGATATTTGTCTCTCTACATCCACATCTCTCAGTCTCTCTTTCTCTTGACCTCGAGAGTGCAACAGAGGTGGGGGATTCACCTTAGATAAAGATAGATAAAGTTTCTTGACCTAACGCTCTATTGATGACAAATTCATCCCTGAACTGCAAGTGACCTTTGAAATTAAAATCTTTTTAAAATAATTTTAATCATTTGTGTGTACACAATGTAGATATTGAAATAAAGACTGTGTCGTGACTCATGCCTCAGTGTGATCTTCATATTCCTATGTCCACACTATCTGTTGTATCTATAAGCACTCTATTCCTGATTTCTCACGAGATTGAACAATATATATATATATATATATATATATATATATATATTTGTGTGTGTATGTGTGTGTGCGTTTCAATGCTAAATTAACAAATTTTTTCAATGCTCTCAATATTTAAATTATTCCTAATAAATTAATGTAGAATAAAAATAGTTTTCTGATTGTTTTAAATCGCATACCGAAAAGCCATAAAGTTTAAAGCCTTTTGCTGGTTTTAGATCGTTGATTTATTTAATATTTTTACTCATCCACACATGCATACAGATAACTACTGAGCTTAGAGCGGTCTGAAAATAAATCTATTAACGAGATTTATAATCGAAGTAAAAATCAATTGTTTGAAACTCAGATCTATCAAAGGCATTGAACTAAGTGAAAGCAAAATGAAGTCACGCTATTGGTTGTCCAAAAATAATGAGCTGAACAAAACGCTATCGCCCCAGAATGTCAAGATTGCTGAATGAGGTCAAGTCACACTATTGATAATTGATTGATCGATAAAAGCACTTTGAACTGGAGAGAACTCAATAAGTCAAAAACTGTTTCAATAAAACGATCCGGAAATAAATGGCAAGCATTCATGACGCAATGTTTATTGAACTTCTTTTGTGGCCCGAAGCAGCATATAAAAGAAAACTTGCTGTGTCTCTTTAATTCATAGTTCAGCAATGCCATCCAAGTTAAAGACTGATATTTATTGTGTGACTCTCTGCCGCCTTTTGGAAACGCCTAAATTAAAAAGTAAAGCAACTCTGACTATAACTTTCAACTCAGAAGATATTATCTTGGCTGAATAACATAAAAACTAAGTCATTAATTATTATGCTCATTCAAACACTTAATTGATGTTAAACTAAGAGATTATGCACCTGAAACCCAGGCCACATTTGACACGAATTACTGGCGTTTGAAGCCAACAACTACGAAGCTATCATGAATGCAGCCGGTTTTTCATTTTGTTTTTATTTTATGCACATTTGTGCGCATGCAACATCACAAATGTCGTGTTTAAAGTGAAAAGCAGAGAAAATGGTTTTTGCAATATATCTTCTACCATATGTGTTATAAAAGGCATAAATAAAAACTTTAATTTATGATCGAACGATAGATTTTTATAGGTGATAGTCGGTCTGAATTTTCAAAAAGCTACTAACGCAAGATAAAATCCTAATCCCAATCCAATTAATATTAACCTAATATTATTTTATCTTGTTTCCATCTTCGATTTTCTCTCTTATTTTTCATTCAATCAAATTATTCTTTTATTTCATTCAATATGTTTTTTGACCAGTTATTTAATTTCTCTCCTTTCAGCAAGAAGCACTGATTTTTTTCTCTCTCTTTTCTTCATTCTTCCACCATCTTTTAATTCTTCTTTGTTGTTTCAATGACCTGTTGTTTGTTTATGTTCTATTCTAATCATTTTCTTTCATTTTTTTTAGTTTTCTCAAATTTTTGCCTCCAACATTCCCTCAGTTTTCTTTTCTCTAAAGTTTCTTTGTTATTTTGTTTTCCTGTTTTTTTTTGTTTGTTTTTTTTTTAACTAATTTTCTGTCATCTTTCCTGCCTTTCGTTTTCTTCCAATCTTTCTCCATCCAGCTTCCGTTGGATAATTTTCTATTACTTTTTCATTCTCTAATAATAATCTCTTTCTGTTTTAACTTTTTTCTCCTTTGCTTTTCAACTAAAATATTTTTCCCTGTAATAAATTTTGTTTCTACTGTAACATCTAATTTCTTGGCTGGACACTTCTGCCGCAGTTCCTCTCCCTATCGTTTCTCCTGTTGGTACGATTCTTCCATTTATTGCTTCTTTTCTTTTTAATCTGAAAAGTTTCACTCGTCTCCTTTATCATGTAACTGATCTATTTCTGTATAATTATGTGTTTCGCTTTTCATGTCATTCTCATTTAGTATGATTTTACCTTTTCTATCTTCTCGGATTTTGTTCACCTCTTTCATTCATTTATTTACTTTCTCTTCATATGGCTTTCATTTTCGTATTTCATCTCGCTCGATCCATTTCCGTCTCTTAATTCCAATTTTTCTTTCACTCTCACCAATTATCTATCACTAGCTGATCTTGTTTTGTTTGTAGTCCGACTTGACATGCGCAATTTTGTCTCGCTATGATCATCTTGTTCTAGTCATTTCCTTCTGTTCATCTCGCAACTGCTTTTACTTTTCAATCACTTTCTTCTTATTATCCATTGCCATTGCTTTTCGTCCTTTTTAGTTTTTCACTTAAACCTTTTTCTGCCCCTTTTCCATTCTCTCTTTCTGTCCTTTTCATTTCATTCTTACATTATTACATTATTCGCTTTTTCAATTCAATTTCCATCTATTACTTTCTCGCGTTCCATCATTTAGTAAAAAATGAATCTTTTCAAAGGAGAAGTAATATTATCAAATGTAAGCCCATTTTAAGAGAAATGATATCATTGTTATCTTTGTGCGCATGCACCAGCTTTAGAACGAATGTACCATGTTGTGTAAGATGACGACTAGAGATATGCAAGTAAAGTTCATCTTCAGTTTGTTATGGCTAATCTTAAATTCTTTTCCTCACTTTCTTAATCTTTACTCTTTAACGATAAAATATATTATGCGTGCATAATTAGGCCAGTAGTCTTGCTCAAAAGTACTCAAGGGAAATTAAAGTCCCAGACGCTCTATTTATCGCAGTGAACACAAAAAATGAATTACCTCCCTTATTTGAGAGGATTCCGTGGGAATGCATTACCTCCCTTATTTGAGAAGGTTTTGTGGGAGTAAAAGAATTTTGTGTATGTTAAATCTTGTTCACGTCCAGCACACATCATTTGCATTCAGAGTCGTTCTCACGGGATTATTCACTGAGACCTTGCTCCTTCAGAAGTGGAAGGCAGTTTGTAGAATTGCTTTCGGTTCATTCCCTTTGACTAAGAAGTCAATTGAATACATCACTAACAATGGAATCTTCAATAAAATGAATTTTACACACGAACTGGCCGGTAGAACCAGCTTAATGTTACTATTACATTGCGAATTTGACTGGTTTTTGCTTTCTTTTTTCTTTCTCTTATTTTTCAATGGGATTTCTATCTAAATTCATCAAAAATCTTCAAACACATTTTTAAGGAAAGTGACAATATTTTATATATAATATGCCATAAAATTCGTATCTATCTATCTATCTATCTATCTATCTATCTATCTATCTATCTATCTATCTATCTATCTATCACTATAACTATATGTATATATATATGTATATAGTTAGTGAATGATACAAGAGAACAGCTCCTTAATATCTTTGTTTTCCGTTTGTGAAGAAAACATATAAAAATCCATATACAAGTAAACTAAATAAATTAAGCAGATTCAAATTATAGCAAACATAGGTGTTATGAATAATCAAGAGGGTCTCCTGTGGTTTTGTTACTCTCCTCTTTGAGAAAGCTATTTCTGTTTACTGGGACTATAAAAGGACACTATACGCGAACCTTGTATTCTCAGTTGAATAAAGCTTTTTTAAAGCCTACACCTGCGTACTTTTGGCATTAGAATTTATTCAATTGAGAACATCTCTCGATCATGGGACAATTAATGCGCCCAGTTAGAACCTGATACTACAGACTCTAAAAAGCGCTGGACGCATTGGCGAGTGACGTTCGAAAACTTCTTGCAAGCAGTACGTGCAGAAACCCCACATCGGCCATTGAACAAGCTTGGTCTCTTAACTAATTATATATTCCACACAATACATGAAATAATTCTGGACTGTGCCACTTATGAAAAGGCTATGGACATACTACAAGCTATTTACCGGAAACCAAAAAATGAAATCCTCGCTACATAAACTGGCTACCTGACTCTAACTAAAAGGTGAATCGCTGGAAGAGTACTTAAAAGAATTAAGAACCATAAGCAAGGATTTTAACTTCCGGACAATGAATGTTGAAGAAATTCGAGACGAGCATATTCTGGACACTTTTATCAACGGTCTACAAAATACCCAGGTAAGGCAAAGACCCCTTGAAAATACCAATCTAAATTAAAAAAAAAAAAAAAAAAACAGGTTACGAGCAGGCCTATACATTTCAGGTGGCCCCAAATAAGTTTGTGTTCTACTTACAGACTGATACTGTCGGTGCTGCTCCAAACGCTATTCTCCTCTTCTTACACACATGATTCCGTGTTTCGCTCTGTGTCTTCTCTTTCTAACCAAAAAATTCCAGATACTCTACTCTAAAACCTTCAGAACTTCCTACCACTGCTGCTGTCATAGATCGTAAATGCTACATTTGTGGACCCAGTCAGCATCTTTGGTCCTCTTGTCCAGCTAAAGATGCTAGGGGTTACAAATGTGGGAATTTCGATATTTTTCAGAAGTTTGTCGACCCACACTCTCTAAAAATAAGATTTTTACTGCTTCTTTTATTGTAGTCACTGTAACAGCTGCTTCTCCGGACTATCTTTCAAAAAGCATAATGCGGATTACACTTAATGGCGTTGCTACTGATGTATTGACACCGGCAGTTCTTGTAGTTATATTAATTTCAGCATTGTGAAATTGGGTTCTAATTGGGTGTCTATGGCAAATGCTTTTCTATCATCACAAGTGATTGGATACTACCTGGTTAGCCTATAGTTAACAAACACTTTATATAGAAACACCAAACTCTCGATAATGAAGAACCTCTGCAATGATGTGATACTGGAACATGACTTTCTACAGCATCCTTTTTGGAGGACCCAAACCGACCCTCAGCATTTGTGGATTAACAGCAATCAACTTTCCGTACACGTCACTCTTCAATAATTTATCTCCAGAATGTAAGCCTATAGTAATGAAGTGAAGACGGTACTCACTTGAGGACAAACAATTTATAAAAGGTGAAATTACGAGAATGCACGACGAAGGAATCATTGAAACAAGTGAGTCTCCATGCAGGGCCCAGTTATTAGTAACATCTTCTGAGAACTACAAAAAGAGATTAGTAATTGATTACTCTCAAACCATAAATAGGTTCACCCTATTAGACGCTTACACATTACCACGGATAAACAAAATCATAAGTGAAATTGATAAATATAAAGTGTACAGCACGCTAGATCTCAGAAGCGCTTATTAAAACCAGCATATCGCACCTAAACAGCCTTTGAAGCAAATAGACGATTCTATCAGTTTAATAGGATACCATTCGAAGTAACGAATGGATAAAATTATTAGTGACGAAAGATTGGAAGGCACTTTCGCATACACTGACAACATAACCATATGCCATCGCAACCATGCAGATCACAATCTTAATCTGAAAAAATCATGGCGGTTATTGAGAAATATAATCTCAAATTAAATAGTGAAATTATTTTTTTTGCTGGCGTAGAGACCATTAATTTACTGTGGTAAACCGTGAGTAAATGTTCTATGTCACCAAATCTGAAACAACTGAAACTTCTACTAAACTTGCCAACTTGTAATATGTGTGCTCTAAAATGAGCTATGAGTATGTTTGCATATTACTCCCAGTGGATTGCTTCTCTCTCAGATAAAATACATCCATTGGTACAAGCGGATAATCTTCCTCTTTCTTCAGCAGCAATAGAGGCTTTTAAAAAATCTTAAAAGTATATAACCAAATCAGCAGTTACGGTATATAGATCCCACCATTCTTCAATTGAAAAAGAAGCCTATGCTATATTAGAGGCACTCAGAAAATGGAGGCACTACTTGATAGGACAAAATTTTCGATTGTTTACTGATCAAAAATCCATCGCATTTATGTTCAACACCAGAACAACTAGTAAAATTAAGAATGACAAAATAGCAAGGTGAAGAATTGAACTCTCCTGTTTTTCTTTTGATGTAAGCTATCGACCTGGGTAAGAGTGGCAGATGCATTACTGAGGGTAAGTAGCTCGATACCAAACATAGATGAGCTTCGTAAACTACTCCTGCGTGCTTTTGTCATTATAATATGTACCTTCAAAAATTTGCTAAACAATGAGCATCCATGATAAATATACCCAAATCTTAATAAAACAAATTTTTATTGTCAAAAATTTTCACGTTATTATTACGAGTTATGAGCAAAGGACTTTCAGATGTAAAAATCATTTTCTTAATCCTTTAAAGAACCGTGAAAATTTTGTTTAGTAATCTTATTTATCAGGTATCAACATTGTGCTATAAATTAGTTTGGGAGATTTTCGGGTCTTTTTACGATTTGGAAATTCTTGCAAAATTCAGATAGTTATCGAATTCTAATTAAACTTTCAGGACTTCTTCAGAAATGAATAAAATTAATTTAGAAATTTTTTGAAGTTTTTGTAATTTTTTTTTATCTCTCTTAACCCACACTTATTTAATTTTATGAAATTTCAAGAAATTCTTTTTTTGTGGCGCTTTATTTGTTTATTTTATTTGTTATAAGGACAAGTTCTCGGAGAATATAAATCATGAAAATGGTTTGTCAAACAGGACTCCCAGTTAGAGAAAATTTTCTCTGAATCGTAAAGTAAAAATTGCAACAAAACTGAGACATTATTTAGTTAGAAAAGCTTTTGTTTTATGTGTAAAATATATTATGGACACTATTGCCTCAAGAAAAAACTTTTCAATGAATAATGATTTTTACAAAAATTGTTTTCATTTCTTTTAATTAGAATAATTTATAAAATTTTAAAGTTTGTATTACTTTTTGATACTGTTATTAAAATAAGAGTATATTTACTAATCATAAAAGGAAAAGTTCACTACAATTCAACGACTCCAAATATTTTAAAAGTAATTTTGAATTTATTTTATATGCGTATAAATGTGTCCGATTTTGTAAATACGGATGTTCTAACCCGACATTATCAGAAAAAAGCGCAAGCGCTTCATAAGATAATACCCCCCCTCAAAAAATCAATAAAATATTAGATTGCTTAGAATATTTTAAAGTTTTAAGATTACTGAGCTCACTAGGCATACAAAAATAGAAAGGGGTGTAACACGAGGATGTATTTTCTCAACGGACTTATTCAACCTATTCAGCGAGACGATTCCGAGGAAGTTAGAAGTTTTATAAAATTTCATTATTGGCTGACAACATAAGATATGCAGATTGACAAAGTATTGATAGCAGACACGGAAAGAAAACTACAAAAACTCTTACAGAAGGTAGCGAAGAAATGCGAGAAGAAAGATCAACTAAATGAAGAAATAATGAATTGTTGTTAGCAAAAGGATGAGCACAAAAGCACAAACTGACAATACAAAAATTAAACAAGTACAAAAATTTAAATATCTTGGAAATGTTTTAACAGAGCACTGAATATGCAAGACTGATATTCAAAGGCGCACTGGGATAGCTGAAGATGCCTTCCAAAATCTAAGCAATGAAACAAACAGAAGAATACGTGATATCTGTCTTCCTATATGGCAGTGAGTGATGGACAATCTCCTCAAAGATGAAAAAAAGTCTCGAAGCAACAGAAATGTTGTTCTACAGAAGGATGCTGAGGATACCATGGACCTAATATGTGAGCACAGACGAAGTTTTAGAGAAAATGGAAACAAAAAAGATATTTTTAGTTGACATCTGGAAAAGACAATTGAAATTTCTAGGGCGCATTATGAGAAAAGAGGGCTTGGAAAATCTGATACTCACAGAACAGACTGAAGGCAAAAAGGAGAGAAGAAACTTAGTGAGCTCCAGTAAATGGCTGGCGGAACAGGGTTGAGGAGAAGTAACAAAGGCAAAATTTATTAACAGTTACAAAGGACAGGAAATTGGGGAGAACCATGATCACCTACGTCTTGATGGAACAAGAATAAGTCATAAAAATATTAAAATATTTTCAAACCTAGCAAAAGTATATATTTCCTGTTGAATACTCTTCAATAGAGTTTAAGAAATAAACTAAAAAGATGCCAAAGAAAGTGATAATTTATACTGCATATATTTGTCTCAAATGAAACTTAATTTTCGCTGACGTTAGTTTGTAAAACTAAGATAAATAATTTGCTGTCATGGAAAGGTTTTAATTTAAATAAAAGACAGTTTTCAATAAAAGACAGTTTAAATTAAACAATTTATTGCAAAAGATAAGCTACTAAAATGTAGCTTATCTTTTCTAATAAATTGTTAATTAATTGGAATAAAGAAGTCGCTACTGCAGAAAATTAAGCGCAGTAATTGGAAAAAGTTCTACACTTAAGAATTTTCATTAAAGATTGAACTGCTTAATTCAGTATAATTAATTTTGAATCAATCCAGTAAATTTGGGTGAAAGTCTTTCAATCGAAAAGTATAAAGTGGTTTCTGAAAAAAGAGCGCTTAATAGCAGAGGGCGTTTGCAAGTGTCATTGTTTTCATTGCTGTATCGTTGCATTTGTGTAAAGATACTAGAGAAAATAAGTGAAATGTTGGTTATTTGATTGGAATTGGCTCAGATAAGATTTGAATTGACATGCATATGGCACATGCATTCAGGTATGTATAATACACATGAAGAGAGTTACGCCTTTATACACATATGAACCTGTATACATGGATATACACGCTGCGATGGGTAAATTATCGCCATTTTATATTTTTAATTTCGAGCATACGCGTTCTTTGTTTTTGATTTTGTCGACTGCACAGTATAGTAGGGTCAGTTGGGCACCGTCTGTGAGATAAAGAGTAACATTACGCAATTCACTTCGCCCTAAATTTGGAAACGGCATACTGTACTGCTTGACATTCCCACCGGAAGCTCCAACACAAACATTTCAGAGTGTTTGGGTGTCAATTTGAGACAGCACGGAAAACCCACTCTGATAGTTCTAATATTGGCAACATTCACCAAATTAAACAAGGAGACCGCTCAGAAGAGTTGCAAGAGATTTCGAAGTAATCTGGAGGCCGGGATTGAAGCCAATGGCGATTTTGTTGAATAAATCTACTCTAAGGAGTATTTCAAGACATTTTTGTGCAATTTTGGTAAATATATCTGTTAAAATGTGATGTCAGTGTTATTTTCATTTTTGTGTAATATAGACAATTTATACATCGCACCCTGTATTTATTTTATTTATCAACTAATGTTTCCCTGCCGTCAAAATTGACGACAAGAAAAATGTATAAGTAATATGTATTATATTGTATGTAATTTTCGTTTAATCCATATACAATTTTGTAATTTGAAATAGTTCGTTGTTTTGTTAACTTTAATAATTGAACAGTGTACAATTTATAAACACCTCAGGAAAGATATCCGCAGATTATCCTCATAAATGTTACATATTTTCAACCAAACTTATGTTTTAATGCAAAAGTTCCCAAAGCACAATATTTTTGTGTAAACTTTAGAAGGTCTGAGTAATACTTGGAAGTCCGTAAATTCAATCTGTAATTTCAGAGAAATCATCGTATCATCAGCTATGCTTTTTTAATTTATTTTTGTCCCCCCCCTCTTTTGTTAATTATAATTTTTGAAGTTTAGAATGAATTTCTAAAAATGAACAAAGCGTTCTTGAAGATATATCTGGCGTATTATATATACGAACACTTATCGATATCAATATCAGTACGCATCAATGGGGCCAAGTCAGCGCGGCATCGTTATTTTGCACGCTGTCCTTCGGTTGTTACAGACACACAGAAAAATGTAAATATATATATGTGCGGCGTATTGTATATATATATATATATATATATATATATATATAGATGATACCTTATTGCAAGTAGGTGTCACATTTAGATGTTTCTTGTATTTGACATACAAATGGTCATTTCTAATATCAAAAAATAAACTTTATTTAATGATCTAAGAAATTTGTGGATATTTCATTATCAAAATTAAAATTTGGTAAACACTTAAATTATTGATAATTTTTCCTCTTTAAGTATTTATCAGATATCCTATACGAAGTTTCATTCAAAATATGGAATCAGCCTTCTTCTGGATACATTTCGATTTAATTTGACTTAAACACGTTCAATTTATAGTTGGAGACTGGCTTGATCAGGAGAATCGCTTAATATTTTTCTAAACCTTCCATTTTCGGACATTTTGCTGTATAATATGAAAGTCCATTTTCATGAAAATAAACCTATTTTTGTTTCCATAACTCAGTAAATAACGGAGAATATTCCTCGGCGTAGTATGTGTGGCTGATATGTATACTTGGTGCACTTCAGAAAATTCGAAAAACTCGTGTTCCAAATTGCTTTTCCGTTCATAACGAAATACCCAATAATATTTGATTATGATTTTCAGTCGTTCTAAAAGAAATTCTTGGCAAATCAACCTCCAGACTGATATTCTTCTGCTGCTCAAAATGCTAAGGCATTCGTCAAAATTTGACATGGTTTCAAAAGTCCAAGTGTAAACTCATTATCTCAACTTTCTCTTTTAAATGTTGTTTTATATTTTACGAAGACGGTATAGTGATGTTTGTTTTAAATGATTTACACACACGCAGCCAACTATTCAGTCTTACTGATGAGATATTGATTTCATTTACTCTACCTTCTTGCACAGTTAACAAAATACACATTATAGTATGTATACATTTCTGCTAGACACCACATCTACATTTCCCTTTCTTTCATTTAGTCTTTGTCCCTCTCCCTTTCTCCCCTCTCTCTATGTACATATAAAGGAGCAAATATATTTATTAGTATATCAATTATCGACCATCATAAAGACTGAAAAATAAAATTGACAAAGATTATTGTTTCAGGTAGACGGACACGCATGTCTTAATTAGTTTTTTTTTTTTTTTTTACGAATTGGTCAAACCCAAATTCAAACAAAAACATTGTTTACAATCGTTATGAGTCTATTGGTGAATAGAATTTTATTATAAACAATTGTCTTGTAAATGGAATTTTTAAAGCATTCTGAATGTAAATAAAGAAAAAAGTGTGAAAGACAATAAGAAATACTACCTGCCGAAAAAAAAAGTGGATGTTTGTTTTATCGGCTGAAAAATGTAAGAAATCCGATCCCATATCACACACACACACACACACACACACACACACACACACACACACACACACACACACACACACACACACACATAAACAACCTGGCTTTTTAACCTAAGTCACTCCACGGAATCGCTAAAACATAGAGCATAGTCTGATGAAAAAGACGCCAAAGTTTATGAAAACAAAATTTTATTGTCAAAATGCTTATGTTTTTATGAAGAGGATAGACTAAATTTTTTTTTTAATTATTTTTAAAAAATTTTTCCATCTTTTTAGAATATTCTAAATTTTGATTTAAAAAACCTTGTTTCTCTTTGTCGCAACAAGGGGTAGTAAATAAAATAGATAATTTTTAGCGCGTTTTTTTGTATTTACACACATTAATTTGGAAAATCTTGCAAAAATAAAAATAATTGTCAGATGTTAATGAAACTTTCAGAAACTATTCACAGATGATCGAAATTATTATAAATATGTTTTTTTTTATTAAAGTCATGGCAGAAATATTTTTTTTATATTTATTAACACCCCCATAACTAATTTTATGAAAAACTCTAGAAATTCGAGACCATCGGTTTTAGTGATTACAATAGTTAAAAGCACAAGGCTTTGAAGAATGCAAATCATGTTTTTTTTTTTTTTTTTTTGGCCAACGTACCTGAAAATCAGCTGTGAATTGTAACATACAAAACTCAATAAAACAAATATATTATTTAGTTTCAAATGCTTTTATTTGTTTTAATTTGTTTTTATGAATATGGACAATATTTTCTGAAAGCAAAAAATTTTTTCAATGAAAATTGAATTTTTAATACAATTATTTCTTATTTCTTTAATTTTAAAAAGATTTTTAAAAAATTTTAAATTGAATTTTTAAAAATATTTTAACATTAGTTAAAAGCAACATCAACCTTTCAAAATGTCCGTGTGAGATTGTCATTGTCTAGCGCTTTGAAAATTGTATAATTTGGACCAATCAGATTAGCCATGATAATTAAGAAATGTAATTTTTGTGTTTATAGTCGGACAGTAATTATCAAGTACGGAAGACCAACCAGAATACAATTTAGTTGCATTATTTGAGTTCAGCATTGTTCTCCGCTGTTAAGCCCTTTACTTTTTGAAAAACACGTATGGAGAAGTTAATTTGAGTTTTCAATTTCAACTGAGAAGGGTACCTACAAGTAACAGTATCATCTTATGAAATTTAACTACTGCTAAACTTTAATTTATATGATCTTATTTTTATATTAATCTCAGTTATGACATTTTTCCATAAATGAAATATCAAAATTAATAATAAAATGAATGGAAATACAAATAACACAGTAAAATATAATAAATGTACATAAAATTATAGTATTTTATGTACACTTCTGATAAAATTTCATAAGAAAGGTACCTAAATTAATTAGATACCTTATTCTTATGAAATTTAATCTCACTATTAACAGTCTTATTTTTTAATTTCTTTATATTTTCCATAAAGCATCGTAAACGTAAAAATGAAAGCTAAGTACAAAAAAAATTTTTTAAAAAATGAAAAATAAAAAATTAGAGCGCTGAAAGTTTTCCTTAAAAGTAACAAGGTAAATAATTTGTTCACTTAAATAATTTCACTTCCTTCCATCTGTAGAAAGAATTCTCCTCCCGTAAGTTATCTAAACGTCATGAATGTGCCTTTCGTCAATCGTCAAGCGACGCGAAAGGTTATGACCTGCTTTGTTTTATTTTCAAATTACATTTTTTCGGCGCAGAAGCTAAGTTATGCTTGGGTTCAAAATATTTTTAAATAAACAGTATAATTTCTGTTTTTATTAAAATCAGTTTTGAAAAAATGATAATTGATTTTAAAAAAGAATATCAAAGTAAGATTTTAATCTTTTTTATCAAATCGAAAAAAATGATTGAAAATGATTATCTGTCCTTTTTTTTTTGACAAAAAAAAACAATATTTTTAACGAAAATTTCAGACGTGCTAGGAACGATTAAAAATGTAAAAAATACCCCCAAAATACTTTGATCTTTCCTCTTTAATAATAATATGAACATTAGACGATAAAATTTTGTTTTCGTCAAGTTCGGCGTCTTTTTCATCATGCTATGCTCTTTTGTTTACATTTTCGTGGGTGAGTTGTCCCCCATTCATTCTCACGATGTGTCTTAATCGTGTTTTCAAAATGATTTTATTAAAAAACAACTGTGTTTTTCCCATTTTCGGTCATGTTAGAACCACCACAAGGTAATTTTATGTAGTCCTGTGAAGTTTTGTTGAAATGTAGGAAATTCGATCCAACATATAAACGTTACAGACACACACACAAACACACACACAATCTGCGTTTTATAATAAGATATATATATATATATATATATATATATATATATATAATTGCTACGCAATTGCAGTTTTGTTTCTCACGCATATCAATGCGTCACATCAGGCGATTATAAGTTACTGGTGAATGAACAACTTATTTGGATTTAAAAGCAAAATACAACTTCTAACTAAATTTCTTGTTTATCTTTGTACTCTCCAATCGAGAATCCGACGGTTGAAAAATTCTATATTGGTAGTACTAAGAATTCTTTCAAGATTAGGTGCTATCAACATATCTTGTCCTTCACCAATACTACTTACAGAAATAATACATCACTTTCTAAATATTTTTGGAGTTTAAAAGGTGATAATAAGGTTGCTAAGGCGAAATGGAAAATTTTAAAAACGGCAAGGACTTGGAGATTTTTATATGAACACTGTTTTCTGTGCTTACATAAAATTATCAAATTTAATAAAAATTCCTTATGAAATCAAAAGGAGTTTACCTTTACCTTACAATGTAGTTAAACTTTACAATTTGATTATGCTTTTTCTTATATTTTAGTTGTGCTGCGTTGCACCATATATGGCTTATCTTTCTATCTGTAAGATTAATTTGGATTTAATATAATTTTGTATTAATCCCCTGGTAGTATTAGTAACATCTTGTGCGAATGTACTGGTATTTGGTTGGTATTTTTGACATTTTCCTCTATGGCCGTCTTCGGGGTCTCATTATACATGAACTGTAGCCGGCCACCATATGGTTAATCCCAAAGGGAAAGATCTCCCGGCTTGAACTCCTGGAGCCAATGCCTGGTGATGCGTTCACTTACAGCATTATCCACAACGGCTTGACATATTCGGCATAAGTCATAAAGCTGTCATCTCCGAACGAGCTGCTTCGACACTGTGATGTTTCCTGCCGTTGCTCGAGCTATGACTGATGTGTGTGCGCAACATACGGGCATTGGCCAAGAGTAATGCATCCACCTCCACTCCAATCGCTGTCCTGTAACGTGGCGCACTTACTTGCGTATCATTGATCACTTTCCACACGACGTAAAAACAGCAATTGATTAACTTAGAGAAAGAGAGAGACAGACAGACAGACAGACATACAGAGACACACACACACACACACACACACAGAGAGAGAGAGAGAGAGAAAGAGAGAGAGAAAGATTACTTTTACCTGACTAATCTGAAATGACTGACTATAAAGCAAGCACATACATGTAAGAATATATAATATGTTGAAGATAGTTACTCTCAAGAATGAAGGAGATTTGACGTAATGAAACTTTTCGAGTGAAGAAAGGCGCATCAAGCTAAACAAATGAAGATATAGACACACATAAAGGTAAATACTTATAAACGCATGCGTATCACTCTCCTCCAAACGGTTGAGTTATTTAATGTCATTAGGAAAGTAATAAGAAGCTAGAGCCTTGTACTGGAGAGATCTCCAAGGACACTAGTGGTTCGTAAAACGAATATAATGATTATTCATTCATCTCTTGCTCTCTTTTTTCTCCCCTTTGTCTCATTAGTTCTAAGCAATAGCAACAACTTTCAGCATTAAATCCTTTCCCGACTTCTCTTTATCTTTTTCTGCAATTCATTTTCAGCCAAATTAATATAGAAAACATTGCTTGCAAATTTACCTCTCTTTCGATCCTTCATTAAATTTTAAGAGCGCTTCCAGTTCATACAATTTTAATAATATTACTGCACTATTTTTCATCTTTCATGACGAGTTACTAAATCCTGGAGAAATGGTTGTTGCTGATCTTTATTTTCAACTTGAACATATAGACGGAATTGGTGAAGAGATAAATGTCATTTTCTAATATGACAAAGTAAACTTTTTCACAATCATAAGTTGAGATTTAGCTTTGAATATTAATATTTTGTATGTTCACAAGCAACAACATTATAACGAAATTGGAGTGTACAAGAGTTCTCCTAGGTTCACGACTGGTAGACTCATTTACGATGTTTTTGAGTAGATATAATCAACTTGCATGATTGCAATGATTCTGTACAAGCATTGCTCAAAATTTGAGATATAAACTGTCCCACTATTTGATTTGGGAGATCGGTTCAAAGAGAAATAATTATTTTATTTTCCATATCTAGTTTCTTTATTTAATGTCCGGTCGAGCTTAAATTTAGACAAAATTCGCTGTTGTTCAATTTTTTTTACTTAATTGTTCTTATTGACTTTGGAAACAGAATATTTTAGCCAGAAAATCAGTAGTATTACTATTTAATTCTTTTTTTAACCATAATAGCTAGGCAAGGATATGCATTTTAATAATTTAAATAAATATAGATGTAA